TTTTCAGCATGTTCCACCCCTTAACTGGTAGCTGTAGCTGTTCCCAATCATAATAGCTTACACACCAGGTGCATGTAGGTTAAGGCCTTATGTAAAATCCCCTTCATAAGCCCACCTTAAACCACATAATTGCATGACACATTGAACCAGAACGGCACCGACTGGACGTCACCCAGCGACGACCTTCGCTGGAGGAGACCTGCAATCCTGACGTTGGTCTCCACTCTTCATCCAGTGGCCGCATCTTCAGTTCAATCCAAGGGAACCCCTCTGTATGCTGATCAATCAACACCTCCATTCGTTGTGGATTTATCGTTGTGGATTATATGACTTTTTCCAATGGATTACAGACTTTGTTTCCAAGGGGTTAAAGCATTGCTACAATGGATTTACCAACAACACAATGGAATTACCAAAAACATTGTGGGATTACCTTCTTTGACTTTTGTTTTCCTTGCTGGATTACATCAAGCTCAAGGACTTTCGAAGGCGTAAGTTCATGTTGGAATTCATCCCCATGGACAGGCGATGATTTCCAAAGGGGGGACTGTAGTGAACTAAGCCTCAGGTCAAGTCCTGACCCTGAGGGCCTTCCTGGAAAAGGAACTGTTATTTCATTGATTTGAGTCCAGAAATACAAATTAAGCTCATCCAGAGACTTTCTAAGTGTGTCCTGCTCCGATCAATTGAAAGAACACTCTCTTTTTTATTATCATTACTATTTTACAATATCTTGATAATCAAGTGTGTTTAGTTCAAACCATTTTAAATGTTGAAGTGAACTACTCATTTTAAATCAACTGTGAAACAGTATAAATGATTTTTAATCCTCATTCAAAGTAGAAATCAAGTTAATGTTTGTTACAAGAGTAATTATGCATTTTTTGATCTTCTGTCTGAAATGAGCAAGTCGTGATGTGGGTCAGAAGTCAAGTTTCGGTCAAAAGCATGTTTATCGGAACGAAATGTCATGTTTAACTCTATCAGACAGATAGAAGGAAAACGGCTCCTAAAAGTCTCTGTTCTTCAAAACATCTTTCTGTCTGTTCTTAAAACAATCTACTCTTTCTCCTTGACTTTTAATGACCCTCTTACGTAACTAAGACCACACCCCTGTTGGTTCTTTCAACCAATCAGTAAGTTCTCAGAGGAACCGGAAGTGACCTCTTTAAAAGGATCAACACTTCCTAGTTCCAAGCTGAACAAAGTTCCGAGCAGAACAAGTTCCAGAGCGGAACAAGAGCTCCAAGAAGAACAACGCTCCAGACATGAACCAAAGTTCTGAGAGAAGAACCGAACGAAAGTTCTGAAGTGCTGGAGTTAGTTGGGAGTTCTTCCGAGTCTCGTGGGAATTATGGAATCTTCCACATTTGAGTGGAACTCTGACGGGCTCACAGCTCATGTGAGTCCACCTGAGAGGTGAGCGTGCTGTTGAACGAAGTACCGTCACTACCCCGAACGTTTCTCTGCTATCCTACGGAGACGCTGAAATGGTAACGTTGAAAGAGAACTCTACACCGACGCTGAGATATCTTCTGCCAGGTAAAGAGTCGATTTCCACTACCGAAGTGTACCGAGGTAGAGCTGGGTTCGAATGGAGGGTGTCGTTCTTCGTCAACACATTTTCCCTCACACATCCATTTTCTCCATTTAAACTTCATTTTCCCATCTTTAAAACTCTTCTATCTGCCAGTAATTAATCCAGATATTTTCAGGAATGTCTGTTGGTTTCAAAAGCTGCAGGTGAGGAAATCATGGCCGTATGATTTTCTCATTGTAAAGCTGATTAATTAAGCTGTGTTATAGTGTCAATCTGCCAATTATTGTAAATGTGTGATGTGTTTAAATCGTTTTTAAATAAACGACCCACTGTTGTTGGTGAGTCAAAGATAAAACACGTTTCCGTCCACATTTAATCATTCAAAACACGATAGAACTCAGTCCAGAAAAATGAAAGAATCCGTTTAAATTATGAATAATATCTGACAGATATTATGTTCATTACAGATGAACTAAAAATTTAAAATGAAATGATGAAAATGACTATCCTAAATATCATTTATCTGTGAGTTAATGTGAAGTGACTCTTGATTGAAGAACAACAACCTGTCATTCAGTTTGTTTAAGGAACTCATTGTTGGCTCACTGAATTAAAACAGTTGTGTTAAAGAAACTATAAAAAGTGGACCATATAAACAGATGTTAGTGATTCTGTGGTGACAAGTGGGTGATGGGATTTGTAGCTTTTTGTTAAATGGGCATATTTTTGGACATGGAAGAAAACTAATGTGTGTGTTGTGTGTGCTGATGATTCTGCAGTACACTCTGCTGTACGTACTCGTGGTGACCCCAGCCCAGCTCTGGTAGGTAGGGTAGCTTCTTGATCCTGATGATGGAATCGTATAGGGAGGGCTGCAAAGACTGAGCCACCGCGTTGGCCAGTATCACGGCTATCATTACCGGCAGGATGTGGGAGATCTGGCCAGTCAGCTCAAACACAATGACTGCAGTGGAAACAGTGTGGGTCACCGCTCCTGACAAGGCTGCTGCACCTGTGGGTGGGGGAGAGGACGGTGAGGTGAGTGCAGAGAACAGGCATGGTGATGTTCAGATCAGCCATTTTCAAGGAGCTCTTCACAGAGAGGGGTTCAGGGGTACCATAAATCGAAAAACTAATGTGGATTTAAAGACCAATAAAGCATTTTTACTGCAAGAGAGTATGAAAGTGTCTTTTTTACAAGATGTCAAGTATAATTTGTAATTATCTTGGACTTCGACGTTACTAGAGGGGGCTATTGTTATTTCAGTGTCCTTCATGCTTCTGTTTAAAAAGTATAGAGGTGAAGTGAGGGGTGAAAGTCTTTAGAGCTTGCAGTGGAGGAAGTCACAAACCAAACTACTGTACCGGTACTCTGTTGTTGTTGTTGTTAGTTTTTTTGGCTCTTCTCAAAAGTCACACAAGTCAGTCAGTGTGGATTTAATTTCTACAGTCCTTCAGTTTTCAGAGGGTACAACTATACATTATAAGTAGAGAGAGGGCTGGAAGTCAGAAGTTGAAGCCACAAAGGATGAGCACCAATTAGATGGTCATAGTGTAATATTAAAGTCCAATCCCTCCATTTAAATTAATCAAATGTTTCCTGACTAAAAATAAAAATGCACTTCAGATCTTTGTTTTCAGGCATTGGTTTTTATTAATTGGCACAGTTTTTACCTTGATGCTTGTTCAAATGTGTATTTTCGCCACATGTTTAGTTTCATTTAGTTATTTAAGCCTTAGTCATGTTACACTCTGATTGAAGAGATGACAGACTATTAAATTGGGAGAATGTGCAGGTGGGATTGTCATATTTATAATACAGCCTTATGTCCCGAGTGCAGAGACTTTGTTTTTAACAACAGGAGAAGGCAGACACTTTGTCCATCTATAATAATATCATAAGGTACAAATGACACCAAAGTGTAAAACTCTTTTAGGGCTAGTTCCTAGTGAATGTTCCTTTTTATTAAAAAGAGGACAAATGCTGCTTTGCTTTGATTTAAAATAAAAAAGCTCCATTAACGAGAAAGTACAACATTTCCTGTTTTTAGAGCTTATCTCGAAATATATTTATGTTCCTTGACTTTTAAATCAGAATTAAAGTTAAACATGTTCCAATATTGTTTTTTTTTTTTTTTTTGCTTAAATTTAATATTTTAGTTGTTTTTTTTAATCATATTTTTGGGCTTCGTGAGATACTTCTTTTCATTTTAGATTCTACATTTGGGTCAATAGCAGTTGTTTTAAATGTGATTTTAGATTATTTTGATTTGACTTGCTATTAAGAACACTACTTATTAGAACAGGTACTGTCTTTATATTTAATATAACTGATCCAAAACTCTCAACTAAACTGAAACTTTAGTGTTGATCCTAGAGCAGAGCTATTCAACTAAACTGCTCAGGGGGCCACAGTTACTGCAGCCAAGACATCCAGCAGTTACTGTCATTAAGTAAGTTTGTTTTATGGTTTAAAATATAGTTTTATTTAAAAATAAACCCCTTGGTGGGACGAACTGAGTTCAACCATGGGCCTGATTTGGTCCTTGGGTCACCAGTTGAATAGCCCTGCCCTAGAGTCTTTAACTTGACAAGCTCTGATGATAAGTTTCACTTTCTTCTCCACGCCACATCTTTATAATCAACTTACACAACTAATTTAATAGAGCAGGAAACCTCAGTGTTTAAGTTGTGTTGTTTTCATCTTAAGTCTTGTTAAGAGTGCAATAAAAACTGAATAAAAGAAGACACCAGCATGGGGGGCAGAGCCGTCATAAAAACTGAGAAAACGGATGAGTCCAATTCAGTGAGATGAAGAGAAAAAAAATAGAAGTGAATGAGAGAGAAAAGTACAACGAGGGAAACGAGAGCATAGATAGTAAATGAGTGCATTTGCACAGGCAGGTTTCATTGTTCTCCCTACCGTAACTTAATTAAGCCATGCCTGTCTGCCCCCCGCACCCCCACATCCCCAGATAAATGCTACCGTTCCCTCTGCCCAGCCTACAGTCAGTGCTTGGAACGAGCTGTGCTGAGCGATGAAAGAGGCTCATCAGAGTCAGCCTGTAAAGGGCTGAGTCATCAGCTACAGTGCACCACAACAGCATCAGGAGGTCTGTGCCGACCGGCAGCACAGGCGGAATCTGCCCGGCTGCCAACAAGGATCACTAAAGCAACATTGTGTCTCAGACACAACTTCAGAATGAATGGAGGAGGATTTGACTGTGCAGTCATGTGCTGAAAAAAAATTAGGCCCCTTTCACCTGCTAATCATCACCTTTTTAAACTGTCCTGTTCTAAGCTCATCATTTTCCATTCCTTTTTATTCATCTTTAGCTTGAATGCACTGAGTGGAGTGGATCCATATCCAACAGATCTGTCGAGAGAATTACCCGTCAGCACTTTGATAAAAATACTAAATGCATTTTACTTCATGGAGTAAATATTTAATTTTGTAACTTCAGTTTAACTTTCCTTTAAATAATTTCAGAACTAAAGCATTTATACAGACGTAGCCATTTTAAAACTTCAGTAAAATCTCATTTGATAAGGAAAAAGAAAACGTAAAAAGAAACTCAATCAAATCTGCCAAGGTAAAGATAGTGAGGGCTCTCTGAATGTAAATGAGTAACTTGAACATGAAAGTGATTGATGGATCTCCTGTATATGTAAAATATTTATTCATGTCCAGCTCGTCTTCACTCTTTGCACAGGAAAATATCCCTGAGCTTTGTGTTTTTGAATTATGAAGAGAACACATTAAGTCCAGTTTTTATGGTAGTTCAGATTACAGGCATTTTCAACTTCTGGGTTTCTAAGCGGGTTGTCAGCACTGACAGCTGCACAGCAAGTCATCAACATCTGACATTTTGTCAGCCTGTGCTTCAACTATACATAAGAGATTTTCTTTAATAGCTTCAGTTAGGTTGGTATTTGAGGATGTGAGCTGTCTTTGTCTTCAGTGTTGGATGATATTTAATAGGCTGTATAATCAGTGTTCATTGACTTTGAACCATAAATTAAGGTACTGGGACATTGGAAACCTAATTGAGAAACTTAATGAGGGGATTAAAATCTATGTGAACATTGGAAAGATTGCTTCATTTAAAAGCATTTACCCCCCCCCCCCCCCCCCGCAAGTTGCAAAGCACGCTTTCTGAAGAGACATAAACATTATTTACCTAAAATGAGATGTTAAAATACCACATATCAAATAATGGATGAACAGGAAGTGCCTTTAACTAACCCACAACAGAGTAGCCTCCAGGCACTATATGGTAGATGGACCCATCGGAGTGAATACCATCTGGGAACCAGGCGGCCATGCTTTCTCCAACAAGACGACCAAAGGCTGCCCCTGTAATAAAGAATAAATAAAAATACAAACAAATAAACAACCCTACATAATCTCATAATCTGTAATAATGGCTAAAACTAACTAATGCAGATAATTCATTATATCATTAAAACACTTATCATTTTTACATAAACCATCCCTCATTCTTTCAAAAAGAAAAAAAAAAATCAAGGGAATTCGCTAGTGAAGTTTGTCTAACTCAAACATACAGACTTCATAGCACCATCACCAAAGAGTGTTTCCTGTTCCAAACACTTTCGCTGCAATGATTTTAAGTAGTCAATGATCCAGGGATTTGGATTCAATGGAAAAATTTATCACCAGATTGAGGAAAGAAGCTGTGCCAACAATTCAGGCGGATCTACAGGAAAACTTGAAGGGTCAGATATGAACAGACGTGAAAAGTTTGCACACTTGGACAGTTGTGAGGAAATGAGAAGTTTTGCAGGTAAGAAACTTGGACATCACTACAGATATCTGTAGGGTTGAGACACAATTTAGCAAAAAAATCTACAAATTTGTGTGTTGGTTATTTGTGGGGTATGAAATAGTATTATTGGTGTTTTGACGTTGTCCCATGTTCAATGACTGAGTATGACATTTCTATATGAACCCATTGAGGCTGCCCACCCATAAAGGCCATATTTTAATTAGGTCAGAAGACAATATAGTTTGTGCATTAGGTCCATCCTTTGTTAACAGGACAAGAATCTTCCAGCCATCCATTATCTTTACCCACTTCTTCCTTTTCGGGTCGCAAGGATAACTGGTGCTCACATCCAGCTATTACTGTACGAGAGGCGGGAACACCCTGGACAGGTCTCCAGTCCTTCACAGGGACACATGGAGACAAATGAGATGAGCAACCATTCACTCTCTCACTGTCACCTAGGGACAATTTAGAGTTACCAATCAGTCTAACATGCATGTTTTTGGTCTGTGGGAGAAAACTGGAGTACCTGGAGAAAACCCATGCAGCACAGAGAGAACATGCAAACTCCACCCAGAAAGTTCCCCAGCCAGGATTTGAACCGGCAACCTTCTCGCTGAGAGGCAACAGCTCTACCCACTAAGCCACCATGTCACCCCAGCTTGTTTTTAGGGTTTTAAATTTCAACACCCACCATTATAGTCCCAAGTGCTCTTAAGGAGTAACCACTGTTATAAAATGCAATGGTTACGGTATACGTTTTGTTTTTTCGCATTCGAGCCATGCAAGTGTTAAAAAAATTAAACAAACTAGTCATGGAAACACCCAAGCAGTGACAGCTGGACATGGACACAAGTGACTCCCTGTGACCCGAAAAGGAAAAAGCATGTAAAGATAACGGATGGATGGATCGATCAAAACAAGATTACAATGAAAAGGCAATATATTTTTTTAATTTCCCTCCCTTCGTGATCAGACTTGTTACTCTGAACCATTTAGCCAAAAAGGGAATTCCTTCAAACTTTAATGCTTCATAAGAAAAGACGTTGTTGGGTGGTTGAGCATTTTATTTGTTAGCAGCTAACACTGACAGTTGTGGCTTTACCAGAGGAAGACGCTAATCTCTCTTTTCAAAGTAATACTGTTTTAAAACAAAAGTTATAAAAACTTACTTTATAACAAGTTTGTCTAGTTTGTTTATATGTGACCCTATGTTGAACTGGAAAGATGCCCATGGGTGTACCCCATCTCTTGCCCAGTGACTGCTGGAGGTAGGCACTAGCTTCTTGTGACCCTGAACAATATCAAGCAGGTATAAAAAATGGATAATGGGTTTACCGTTATGTTAATATCTTTTCAGTGTAGAATAATTATCCTAATTTTCGTTTGTTTGTTTACAGGCTTGATTTGAACCAGTTTCCAAGTCTCCTTTCACATGGAAGACTTTGAATGTAAATTGTGAAGATGTTTATTTACCAATGACAAATACAGGCATGAAGGCTCCACAAGGTACCGGGATGGTGGTGGCCAGGGCAGACATCCAGAACTGAAAGAAAAGAAAGGTAAACAAAAAAAGGGCAGAAAAAAAGACATTTAATAAAAGAATAGGATGGCATCCTAATTATCTTCAGAGTTCAATTCAGTGCATCCATATATAGCCAGGTTGAATCTTCGAGCTGCAATGAGGGGGCAGCCATGCGATGCTTATTGCTGAGGTTAGATTGAACTGTCACATTCACTCTACATTTGACAAAGATCCTGAAATAAACCCTGGGTAATGAGAGGGCTCCACTGATTGGACAACACAGCACCAGGCAATGGGAAGGGATAGCTAATTAGGCAAAACAAACAAAATAGGGAAACATCAGTGCGAAGTGAATGTGTGAGACTTATCGTTAACTCCATACATACGTGGGTGGGAAAAGATACGTTTTATAATCTAAAACACCAGAAATAGGACAAAAACACAATGCACTTCATGTTTTGAACTCTTGACTACTTTCACTTTAAAGTAAGCAAATCTATATTAAAGGTGTCCTGATACATGCTCAATAATCCAGGTAGAAAAATCCAAAAAAAAAGTTCAATCTGGTCCTCTGGAGGTGTCCAGAGGACCAGATTGAACTTTTTTGGATTATATTAAAGGTGGTTTCTCACTGCTGCAACTGCTGGAAACTAGTTGGCAAATGACCATCAAGCAAGTGAGTATTTAAATGTCTTGAAACATGGATGAAGTTCTCAATTACCTTGCGTGACTTGGAGAAAAATGCTGTCTTGGTTTAAAAATGTCTGTTATAAAAGTTCTCTCAAAATACTCCTGAGTTGCCAGGGGTTTTTGCAAACCCTTTTCACTTTAGTTTTCATAAACTCTACAGCCCCACAGCTCTATTTTGATATCTGCATGGATTCACTCCTACATTGGCTGTCACACAGTGATGTATAGAATCAGTGTATGCCAACATATTAACAAAAAAAAAAGGAAAACCCACTGGTGCAAGTCACATAAGTTAGGTATAAGTTACCAGCATACTGATATATGATGACATAAGTTGTTGTAAGCCAATGCTAGTCCAAAACTTTGTACATGCACAAAACTTTCAGTGTATGCCAACATGTTGCTGATAAGTTAAGAAATTAATTACAGGTATGCGACCGATAAATTATGCACAAGTTCACACGTTACATGTAAGTACTCATAAGTTGACATACATAAACACAAACGGTCACAGATTAAGCAGTGGCGCAATTTCAGGGAGGAACAGATGAAGGAAGTATGGGCTGCGAAGGGTGGCACGGTTCACAGCCCCGGCAGGATGGTTCCATACGATCCACTGCTCTCAGAGCCGCTCCTGTTTACCGGGAATTTGCTGAGACCTATGCGGACCATCTGCAGCTCGAGTTGTTCCACCAGAACCTCACACTATGGCCCCTTTCCCACCTTGGGCTCAGGATCTGGCCTATCATGGTGGCTGTCTCCATGATCTTTCATCTTCCTGCATGAAATGAACTCTACAAAACAGTTCAGTTGCATGGGGAACTTTGCAGTTTCTGTGTCGGCTTGACCCATTTCTGGAGGGCAGTCATCGTCCGTTGCCGGGGTCATTACTATCATTATGTTCCTAACGGGACCACACTGCTAACAGGACCATACTGCTAACAAGACCATGCTGCTAAGAGAACCTCATTGCTAACAGAACCATTCTGCTAACAGTAACCGGGCTTTTATGACACTATTTTTATATTAATTGCTTTTTATTGTTGTCTGTACACAATGTTGTCTGTCTAAAACAGGTCTCTCTTGAAAATGAGTCATTGTGACTAAATGAGACTATCTGTGTAAATAAAGGTTAAATAAAAATTAAAAGAAAAAATACATTGGAAACCAGGTGGTCAATTGTGTACGCCCACTACTTATTTGTAACCTATGAGCAACTTCTTTCTAACAAAGCTTTATCTTATATTAAGACGTTTTCACAACGTATTGTAAGAGTCTTTCAATTGTAGAAGAGTCATGAAAAGCTGTCATCCGTTTGTATGTATCTGCTAGCGACAAGTCACAGATAAATTACTCATCGTTTATATATTCATTCAACTCATTAGCAATACAGTATTTATATGTCCAAAAGAGGCTTCCAGTTGTTTTTTTTATTCCAGCTATAGCGTATGCCAGTGTGTAAAACAGAAATTTCATACATCGGTATAAGCTGTCTAAAACGTTAGTGTGACATGAACTTATGATAGAAAACATGTTTGGCCACAGAAAATCCAAGTAAAATTAAAAACATGTTCTTATTACGTAATAATTATGAAAAAAATGTTCCAAAACTTCATTTCATTCAAAACAGGTAAGATGTGGGCGAATATGAGAAATGAAATAATGTGCATGATCTAGAATACAGTTGTGGAAACCCTGCATACTAAAATAGGATATTAAAAACATTGGCCATTCAGAACGTGTCTCCAAAGCTTACTGGTCGACTGGTTGCAAACACTAAAGCCGAGTGAGACAATGAAATTGCCTTTTTCTCATAAATTTATTGTAAATTTGAGTCTCCAACCATGGCAGATCAGAGAGACACTACCTTAAGATAAATAGAGAAATTTACATTTGAATGTAATGTCTGTCTGTCCATCCATCCGTCAATCCATCCATCCATCCATCCATCCATCCATCCATCCATCATCTTTACCCGCTTTTTCCTTTCTGGGTCGCGGGGGTCAATGGTGCCCATATCCAGCTATCACTGTGTGTGAGGAGGTACACCCTGGACAGAACTCCAGTCCATCACAGGGACACATAGAGAAAAACAAGACAAACAACCATTCACTCACACCTACGGACAATTTAGAGTTACCAATCAGTCTAACATGCATGTTTTTGGTCTGTGGGAGGAAACCGGAGTAGCCGGAGAAAACCCACGCATGCACAAAGAGAACATACAAACTCCACCCAGAAAGATCCCGAGCTGGGATTTGAACCAGCAACCTTCTCGCTGAGAGGCAATAGCTCCACTTACTAAGCCAATGTGCCGCCCTGAATGTAATGTCCAAAGTTAAAACTTATACAGTACTTAGCAAACATTGATGGGTTAGAAAAAGCCCAAACAATTGAACATTCAACACCCACACGTTACAAATTTACAATTACAAAGCAACATTGTTGAAAGAACAAAAGGTGACCAAACAAAATATTTTTCTCTGATCGTCACCTCTGGGATTATCTAAAATGACTTTACAACTAATTAGGCCAATTAGGCCCATTATTTCACAACTCTCCTAAACTTCAAACAAGTCACACATTCAGACAAAACTTCTCATGTTTTATGCATGAACGTGACAGAGTATTGTACAAGCCATTACACAGGTCCTGTTTCGGTAAAAGTCTCATAGTATCAAACAGACTTTTTAATTACTCTCATTACTCCAGCTCTCTCCCTCCTCTCCTGGTCCCTCTGCTCCATCTATAGTTAGCTGTAATTAGACTGGCTGCCATGGTGACGTAATGAATCTTCTGCAGCCCCACAGCACAACCATTTTCATACACCAAACTCCAAGACACACACAAACACACACAAGAGTCAAAGTACTCCGCTGCCAGACACACAAACAATTGATTACATTAAAAACGGCCTCATGGGAAAATAAAACGGTAACTGGAATATCCTTTAGACTACCTATTATATCTCTTTGTCTCTTAACTTTGCTCCTGCACCCAAAAAAGAAAAAGATTCACATAGCTGCAGAGTTTTAAAAGATTTGTGATCTTATAACAAACGGTTAGCTTTAATAGGAAGGTCATGGACTCTGAGTAAATTACTGCTGGAGCCTGTGAGGGTGCTGCAGTGTTGGACAATATCTGATAACTCAAAGGCACACTGTGATGAACTGTGCCTTTCAATCTAGTTGTGCATTTATAGTTATTCAAGTAGGCCTGTCACGGTAACAAATTGTCAACAAATGCTGGACGATTAATTGTCTCAGAAATTATAGTGGTAAACGATAATATTGTTTGAAATTTGACAATAATTAGTAATTGTCAAATTTAAGAAGAAATGTTGGTTAATTTTTGTGTGTAGTACCTTTTTTGACCTCTGGATGGCAGTATAAAATGGTTTGAACCAAAGGATGGATAGTGAGGGAGCGAGCAGCGTGTCTCTGAGAAAAATGGGAAGGAGGCCCCTTGAAGTGACGTGCACTGTCTCTCCTTCCTGTTTTTTGGTTTTCAAAATGGCAGACGCTTGGTGTGGTTTGAGCTCTTTAGCATAGTTAGTATAGCTATAGCATAACATAGCACTAATCATGCATCAGAATCTTTAGCATGGCATTTATCACACAAAGCTTTTAATAAAAACCCAGTAAACAAGTTCTCAGCTTCTTTTTGAAGAGAAAAGCAACTTCTTAGACGAAGGCACGGGTTTCAACCGTGAATTTTGGAGCTTCGACAAGATGGAGGTTTTTCCCCGAGGTCGGCCTGTTAGCTTAGCTCGTAGCTTAGCTTCTCAGCTTAGCTGCTTTTAAAAGAGATTTTAAAGAGAAAAGAGAAAGGAAGGAATCAGTGAAGAGCATTGGAGTTGAGCCTTTAGTGATCCAGTGTCTTCAATAGAAAGAGAGAGACAAGAAAAAATGATAAAGCCGATAAATAAAAATGAGGTCAAGAATTTTCATTTTACATGTGATTATTTGATTTTTTGTTTGTTTATTGCGACAGACCTATAGTCAATTACAAAAAGGTATCTAAATTCAGGCTATACCTAACTAACTTCTTCAGTCATGTTCAAAAAAATTCAAAAAACGTTCAATACAAAAACAACTGGACTTTATTTGGAACAGAAGATGTTTCACTCCTCATCTGAGGAGATTTCTCAATTCAAAGAGCAGTGAGTGAGGTGTTCAGGTTATAAGGACGAGTGAGATAAGATACACAAAAATATGTAGATTGACAAATCACACCTCACACCTTAACAGTAGGGGCTTCTTAAGGTCTTTGTTACTCTAATTCACAGATGAGGCCCCTTCGTTCCCATCAGGTGTGAAAACTGGCTGGGA